TAACGGTTCTCAGCAGGCTCTAGTCACTTCAGGGGTCCTGGGAGAGGCCTGTGCAGCAGGATGGGAGCTCAGCGCCACTGGAGTATTGCAGCCCCCTCTGCCATGCCCAAGATGGGCAGTTGCTGGTCTGTCGGGCTCCTAGTCGACTCCTGGCATTTCGGTGGCTGCCGGGACAACTCCGGTGTTTGCCCGGACAGAGCTGGTTTCCCTGGGGAAGCCTGAAGGGGCTCTTGGCAGTGCCCGCGGCGTGGTACGCTGTCCGCGCTCTAGCTTCCGGGTGGAGGGCAGCTTTGAGGTTGGCAAGCAGCTCCGTGCAGTAGGTGGCAAGCCTGTGGGTGATGGCTGGGAGGCTCTCCTCCCATGGAGGTACAGGTGTGCATGGGCCAAAGATGTGCCCCTTACTTGCCACACATCACTGCCTGCCCTTTGCCACATGTTCATGGGAACTGCCCCCTCTCCCTTGAAATGCCCCGCAGCGCCCCTGCCTCTGCCACCTTTGCCAGCGTGTGGAGCTTGACTCGCTCTGGCTCTGCTGCTTACCTGGGGCCTTTGTGTGGCTCTGACTACACCAAACATAGGGGGCTGTGGGGGGTCTCTGCTTTGGTTTGCTGTCACTTGTGCCCCTCTTGTTTTCCCTGAGGTCCCTCTGGGACCCCAAGACTGGGGTTGTTGCCAGACCTAGGCTTTCCCTTACTGCCTGACCCGTCCCTTGCAGCTGGGGCTTGGTGTGGCCAGCGCTCCCTTCCGAAGGGGCTGAGTGTGGCATGGGCATCTCGCAGGCTGGGGCTGGTGGTTGCAGCAGGGAAAGGGGAGCCCTGGGAGCAGACAGCAGGTACGAGGGGCTCCCAGCCCCTGTGCCAGGCAATCGGCAGAAGGGAAGTGCATGGGGAGGACTCACGCCTGCCCCTGGCTGGACCAACTCCTGGGGACAAGGTGTGGGAGGCTTCCCTGGAGCCTGCAATGGGCAGGGGCATGCCCCCCTGCCTGGGGGCAGTGCTGGGGTCTCCTTGCACCAGCCCCTGCAAAGATCAGGACTTCAGCTGGCTGGGAGCGCATTGACCCATGCTCTGACCGGGACCTGCAGCAGAGGTGCAGCGGGAGCTGCTTTTATTTCCTTCCTCGATGCCGCAGATGGTGGCATGGGGAAGACTGGGGGCCTCGTCAGAGCCAGAGGAGAAATAAAAGTGGAGTGACTTCTTTTCCAGGCCCATCTCCACCTCCCTCGTGTGGCTCTTGCCTGGGGTGGCAACAGCTGCTGGACTGCACCCAGGCCAGGGCAGGTCCGTGCAGCCCCAGGCCTGTTGCTCAGAGCTGGGGGCTGTCAGGGCATCCTCGGCCAGGCACGGTCATGGAGAAGGCTTGTGGCTGCGCAGCTGGACGACGCACACAGCAGGCTGCAGGAGTCGGGGCCTGGGGGAGCTGTTCACAGGTCAGGCCATCACCTCCCTGGGGCGAAGGCCCCCACTCCTGTCCCTGCAGGGGCAGGGTCACGGTGCCAGTAGCTCTGGTCCCAGCGCTGCGAGGGCTTCATAGCTCACCCCTGCTTCCTGCCAGCAGTGTGGGCCAGTGCAAGCTGCTTGCAGCTCCTGGGTCTGGCCTGAGCAGGCGAAGGGGAGGGGAGGCTGGCTGCTTACAGAGGGGTGGGTGCACTTGTACTGGCCACGGGGGCAGAAACACCAGGGCTCCCTGGAGGAGGTGGAGACCTTGTCCACACTCCAGCACATGCAGGCTCATGCCTAGGCGTGGTATGTCCAGGCCACAGAGGGGAGGGTGCTGGGATCCTGCTGGCACATGCCCAGGGACAATGCAGCTCAGGCCTGGGGGCTGGGCTTGTGCCCACTGGGGCACCTGGAGCCATGGGTTTGAGCCTCCCAGATGCCAGATTTGTTGCTGGGACCAGCAGCTGTCACCTTGCATCTGCCCCCAGTTCCTAGAGAACAAACCCCTGCCACAGCCCAGAGCAGGCAGGGCAGAGCTACAACCCCCCTCCCCACAGGGCCGGGGCTCCCCTATCCTCCCTATGGTCTGGGGTGCAGAAGGCTCCTTGCAGCAAGCTTGGATTTCAGCCCTCTCCGCTCACCCCAGTCCCAGCACTGCCCTGGCCAGGGGCCGAAGCCCACGGTGCCAGGGCAACCCATGCATGCAGTAGCTTGGGTACCGCTGAACCCCCACTGTGCCAGCCCTAGCAGCAAATAAATGCACCCCCTTCCCCTCTGTGCAGCCAAAGGCAGCAGCTGGGAAAAAGCAGGTACATGTTGCTGCACGGAGGTGCGCAAAACCCTTGCACAAAGTTGCAGCCTAACGGTGACCCCAGCAGCCCAGGCCTGGCTCCGGCCGGCCCTTCTCCGGCAAGCCCACGGGGTGGCAGCCGAGGCCGCCTCTGCCCATGGGCAGCCGTGCCGGCAGCAGGTGGCAGCAGCAAGCGCTTTCCCTTCCCGCCAGCTCCGGGCTGCAGTGCTGGCCCTGGGCACGGAGTGCTGCCTGGCTCTGCACAGGGGCTCACAGCCAAGCAGGCCGCACTCGGGACAGGCCAGAGTCACAGCGGCCTTCACTGCAGGCAGGCAGGGGCCTGGGGCAGGCCCAGGCTGCAGCGGTGCTGTCCAGGACTGCAGCATGCGTGCAGCCTTGCAGGGGCGGTTGCATGGGTTTGGGACAGTCCAGGGCAGTGGCTGAGCCCTGCTGTGCCTGGAGAAGGAGCTACAAGCTGCACAGGTGGGACTAGAAAGCAGGTTTAACCCTAGGAGGGCAGCAGGATCCAGGTGCAAGGGGTCTTTGGGATGGCCACTACCGGAAGGAAATGGATGTGTTATACTCAGAGCCACTGAGGCAAAGCCCCTCGCAACACAGGCATCAGAGAGAAGAAAGTCAGCTCGCTTCGTCGGGCCCTGGATCTGCAGCTGGGGAAGGCAGTCTGCACGCTCCTTTATACATCGCACGGGCCCCTCCATCCACAAGCTCCAGGCCAGGGTGCTCAGACCTGCTTGAGCTGCCTCTGTCCATGGAGGCAGCGGCCGGAGAGCGGTGGCCAGCCAGGCTCGCGGGCGAGAGAGACGGGGGGACTCCCATGGGCATCGAACAGACCAGGACCATGTTTTAGCAGCAATTTTCCAATTTATTGAAACTGATTGATTTTGCAAGTATGTCTACGCTAATCCCGTCACAAAGTAATTATAATCGATAGGCAGCCCGCGGGCATGCCCAGGCAGACAAGAAACTGTGAGATCAACTAGAAAAGAAGGTAATATTTACCTGAACTACATTTACAGAAAATCAGTACAACACACAGTCATGTTCTCCCACTGACTTCTGATTACTAAAATCTCCCCACCTCCCCAAAATATTAAACACATCTCCAATACAAACACAGGTTTATAATAATTAATATAAAGTCAGTATAATATAGAGTATTCCCAGCAAAAAAAAAAAAAAATAAAAAATCAACCATCTTCAAGCACTGTCTTGGTTCCCCCCCACCCCCCCCCCGTGTGTTTAGTTTTATTTTTGTAGACAGGTTTGAAGCACGTTGAAAAATAAATATATATGAAAGCATACACACAGCACTCTTACTATGCAGAAATCCTAAAAAAAGGCAGAAATCCAAAACACAATATAGACTCTAAAAATAAAAAGAACCATTAAGTATGGCTTTCTTAAGAGTTGCACATGTCACAGAATGAGCTAAAATAAGATTATCTTTCATAATATTGCAAAAAATTCCAGTTTTTGCATTTTCTTGGATTTTTTTTTTTTTAATTTTTTTCTTTTTTTAAGGATGATGTGCAAAATTGGAAGTATCCACGTGGAGCTTTTTTGCAGAGATTCCTATTCAAAGATGGCAGTGTATGGACCAAACTCCCTACCCCAGATGGAGAGTCAGAATATACAACTTTGTCAGGAGCAAGAGTTGAACACCCAGCCCAAAGTAACGAGTTCCAAAAAATGGACACACACACACACACATATATATATATATATAAAACGCCAACTGAATGCAATTTTCACTTTGGAACCGCAGAACATTTCAAGGCATAATTCAAAATACAAAAGGATAAAAATCAGGCTTAATGCTGAAGTCAGCTTCCTTTTCATAAAAAAATATTCTTTTAATAACCTAAACACCGATTTAAAAAACGTCAGTCACTTTGAAAACCTTCATCAGACATGCCCCTCTTCTCGACACCCTGCCAACTCATTGTGCATCTCTGTGAGGTTCTATGGTGACCTTATATATATAAGAAACTATTCAAAGCTGCACAAATCAGGAGTTTTTAAAGACACATTTTTGGAAGCAAAAAAAAAAAAAGCTGACTGGAGGAGATGCCATGAGCCTAAGCTGCATTGTTAAAGAAACCTTTTAATACAGAATGACATGGAAGTCTGACTGAGTGCATCATTTAGTATCATTGAGTAGTATTCTTGATGTATTTATTTTGCGTGGCATAGATAAAAGCATATCAATCAAAAATGGTGGCTTCCACTGTTGTACATCATCAAAGCCTTGTTCAAAATGCTCTGAAATACTGGCACCGTTTTGTTTTATATAAAAACGAGAACAAGATTCAGGGACCAGTGCTTACGTGTGTAAAGGAACATTTAAAAAATAGAAGCTGCGATATTTCTAGTGTGATTAAACGCTTCAATACACCACAAAGGGAGTACTTTTCTGAAACTATTTGTATAGATCTATATATTTTAGAAAAATTAAAAACGGGAAGCTCAATGAAAAATACAAAGTCCTGAAGTGAGATACAAAGAGCAGGGGTTTGAGGTTAATTTGAGCAACTGCTGGATAGATGCAACGCTTGCACCGA